GAGGCGTTTTCTTCCCAAACAGCATTTAAGCACGAGATAGAAGTGACCCTATGGGCTATTTTTCAGCTGTGTTCAGGGCTGTTGGTATGACACGTTCTGTAAAAGTGCACTGGTAGAAGATCTGCAGGGAAAGTGGCCATCCAGGGGAAGAACATGAATCTCATGTTCCTAGTTTTTCTATAAAATCCCACAAACAACTGTGGATAGTTCAGTTCTGTTTTTGGTGAAATAACAGCTGTGTCAGGGTGTTCTCATACAATGTTTATGGATGCCATATAAGCAAAACTGCATATAGATTTTGGTCTCTGAATCAGCATGACATGTCTTGCATGACTTTCTGGATGAAGTAACAAGTCATTACTACTGTGTACTGACTGAAAATGATACTTGAAAAACAGAAGATTGTCAGTAATTTCTTTGTCCTGCTGGTCACAGATTCAGCTTGGTTTCAAATGCAGAGTCAGTATGTGGCAGTGATGGTCACATAGATCTAGAAATCCTTTTAAATGCATATTTTTCGAACAGCCTTTCACTATATTCAGATGGGTTTAATATTAGCCAAAGATGGCTGTCTTTAAAGGTGTGCTTACATAGGACAAGTCAACAGTGAAGAAGAAATAATCAGAAAAGTCATTCTCACATGTACAGGGTTTGCACAGGCGGTAATCCAAGAAATTATTTCCATGGAGGAAATAATCAAGATCTCAGTGGTATTAAAAAAAATATAATTCCTCCATGTGTTTGCATTCACTGCTAGATGTAGAGATGACACACACCTAATGCTTGTGCTCAGTCCTGAGTGACAGTTGATTAAAAAAAAAAACTCAGGAGCTCCAGACAGGAGACTATTTAAAAGAAAGGTGATTGTGAGTGCAAGATGCCGCTCGTCTTTACAGCGAGCATTTGAAGCTGAGTAAGGTAAGGGCACTGCCTTCCCTTCAGACAGCAATACACAGCTGATCCTACAGAAGTGCTGAGGCATTGGTTCTCTGCGTGCAGATTAGCTGTAGTGGTGGTGGCCACCAAAGCATGCAGAGAACCTCCTTATCTCACTTGCATTAATAGCATGAGTGCAATGCTCACTGCCAGGACTGCAGCTTTGGAAAATGCCTCAGATCTTTCCTGCACTCAGTCCTGTTTTCTTGCAGCTGGGCAAACTTGTCACACATACCCATGTGGGTAGCTTGTCTGTTATCTGCAGTCTGATTCTTTAACTCAGTGCACAGCCATAAGGGATGTTTAATATTGTAGAGCTATAGAGTGTCCAAAGTCAGAAAGGACCCACAGGGATTGAGTCCAACTCCTGGCTCCACTCAGAACCATCCCAAATTCCAACCTAATGACAGAGCACTGTCCAAACACTCCTTAAACTCTGGTGCTTTGGCAGCCTGGGCAGCCTGGGCGCCTGGGCAGCCTGTGCCAGTGCCCAAAGTGATTCTTTCTCTCATTGCTCCAGAATCAAAAGTCTTAATCAATTACAAGAAGAGATTAACAGCTGATTTTGTCATAAAGTTTTTTGTAGCTCAATTATTGGAACATAATTTATCTTAACTAGTACAGGTCTTCAGTCTGGATTATTTAAGAGTTTTGTTAACTTGAACACACTGCTGTAAAGCTGTCTGCTGACTAAACATCATGATTAATACATTTGCTAATTCTAAAAAATCTATTGTATTTCCTTTGAGAAACGTATTTTAGAAAACTCATCATCCATTACCAAGCAAACAGAATTTTCTGATGTATACATGCTTGGAATGACTAACGTCACCAAGTCAAAGAGATGAAACCTCGTTGTACATATACTGCAAGTGCCATGCATAAGCCTGTTTTCAGTACAAGAAAACTGGCATTTGGGGGAGGAATTTTCTTTTGTCTTTCCATCTCTTGATCTCTTGCCCGTGCACAAGATAGAAAGGTGGTGTGAAGAACTCATGTGTGGTCTAAGAGTTGTGCTGTCTCTTGGCATAGTTATTAAATCTGCTGTTCACATATTATCAGCTCCAGGAATATAATTCTTCAAAGAAGTGAAATCTAATAATGATGATATTCCGTAACTTCTTTTGGAAACTTTGAATTTTGTTTAATTTCAAGTGCTTTTTTGTGTACAGACCTTCTGTACCTTCAAGTCTTCAAGTGCCAGCAACAGAAAGCTGTGATCTCCAACTAGACAGCAATGCGTGCAATTCCTAAAGCACATCCATAGGTTACCATTTGGTTTTCCTCTTGTTTGCAGAGGAAGGTATGGATACATGTGCAATGCCTTTCTACAACCTTTATATTTACAGGGACGTGGCTGAAGAGTAGTTTGGGACTTGTGCAACAGGAAGGAAATCAGTTGACTTGGACTTACATTGCCCCTCAGCTGGGCTACTGGGTTGCAGCCATGTCACCTACTATCCCAGGTAAGATGGAATTGAATTTCACTGGTATGTCCAACGTTGAGTAATTATTTATTTATATATAACGTTTATATTTTTCAGAATGACCTCATCTGAGATGCCCCAGCTTGATCAATAATGGATTATTAGAAAGCTGAAATCTGAAAGTAAAGGGCTAAAATCTTTTGGGGAATGTGGGGGGCAAACATTGTGCTCCAGAATTGTTTTGAGTATGCTAATCTCTGAATCATTTCAATGGAAAGCTTTTTAAAGTGTTCCTGCTTTGATGTGTTTGTCACCACTGCCTGGTAGAGCCATTGCTAGAAAACGAGGGGAAGTGCAACATCAGTGCATTGGTGCATCCAGCAGACAGAAAAATAATTGTTATGAAGTTTCTGTACAAAAATTCCCAAATTAATGCGTTCACCCAAAACCAACATCATCCTGGGTCAGAAGTTTACTCTTTAATTGATTGTAATTTTTTTTTTAATATACTGGAGATGCTGGTTGCCATGACTTAGGTTTTGCATCACCTTGATGACTAGTTAATTTATACCATGAATAACATAGGGTAGAAGCTGCAGAAAGTGTATTAGCAGAGTGACACTGGTAGATGGGCTTACTGGTTGCCATCTGCAGGCCTCTTTGCATAACGTTAGAACTTTTGAACTGTGTTTTACATGTACTTCTGTGCCCACAGAGATGATTAATGCTGCAGTTTGCTCTTCCCTTTTCCTGTCTGAGGCAGCCTTAAGTTTCTTGCCTTCAGCCATGACAAGTCAGAGATAACTTCTGTATAAATCAATCCAACAAAATACTTTTCTTCTTAGAGATTTTCTGCGTTAGGTTTTCTGGATGAAAGCCAAGCAGTAGAAATGAAAACGTTCTTGTCTTGGCTGTGCAAAACTAAATAAACTATATCTAACCAATGAAACAAACTCTGTTTCTAAAATCTCCTTGCATGTTCCATGTAGTCAGTACATCTATGTAGAGGATTTGGGACTTTTGCTGTGTTATTTAAGATTATATTAAATGAAACTGATGGAATATTCAGCTGATATACTGTAGATCAGAGGTTAGATAGCTTATCCTGATCTGCACTGCACTATCACATTGAATGTAATGGAATTTTGCACAATAACTGTACATAAAGAAAAGGTAGCTGCTCTGAGCAAATGCCACAGCTTGTAAGGAAGTTACCAGTCATGACATTTGCCCCCTAATTCTTTAGTTAGAAGGCAGCCTGTAACTCATGACGGGAGAAGGCCTACATTTGTCCTTGCAGTTTATCTTGTATGGCAGAATTTCAGCTCATATTCTCCATTTTCTTCTTTCTGACGGTTAGATCAGAGTTCCTAACACTTTGTTCCAATGAAAGCAACGTTTTCATGAAAAATTCAAATGATTTTTCTCTTCTCCCTTCTACTTAATCTCCTGAAGCCACATTATCAATCAATTATGTAAGGGTAGTAGTGGCATAGCATTTACAAATATTTAGGTTTTCCAACTGTAAGCTAGTCGATGTTCTTTTAATTAGGCTAATGTATTTTCACTTATTTTGTCTCCTTGTTGAATCTGTTTGGATTTCTTATCTGAAAAAATGGACAAAAATGAGGTTTGTGTTCCTAGCAGTGGCTCTGCAGACCACTCAAGATCCACAAATGAGGTTTTAGAAACCTCATGATCTAGAACCTTAATGTTTTTCAGTTTTGCTGTCTTCCACAGTACATGCATGTTGCTCTGTCAGCTGGTGCTGTACCTCATTAACAACAGATGGAAATTTGGGCTTTTATTTCAAAATCATGAGGAGGATTTTACAAACCAACAGAGTTACACATGCATAATTGTGAAGAGATGCTGTCCACACATGTGCATTTCTTTGTATGCCAGAACGTTTGCTAAGCATTATTGAAACCTGGAGTTACAACACTGGTTTGCAAGTGGCTTGCTTTTTTAAGCTACTGAAGATCCACGTGGCTGGCTTGATCTAGACTAAAGAGCACCAACACATCTTCCAGTGAATCCTGTACTGCAATGTACATACTCATCAGTGCAAAGCAACACAAACGTTGGAGAGAAGTTGTTAGCTACAGTGCTGCTATGTGCATTACAGTGCTGGAAGATGCAGTGATGACTTCTCTCCAGTGATGAGAGCTTTAGTGCACTGTGTCAGCATCAGGACCTGGAAGGCAGCATTCACTGATGCATGCTCCCATTTGAACTAACTGCTTTTCCACAGAATGATCTATTTGGACTTGCAGTCATGAAAACCAGCACACGCTTTCTCCACAACTTGCTCCCTTCTTCAGAGGTGGTCTGCTCAATAGGCACCAGGGCTATGAGCGGCAGTGTTGCTCGCTTAGCATCCTGATAACCAGGGAAGCTGTCCCTCTCTGTTTATATTGTTCTATTTCTTGTTTGCAGGCTGTTGCGCATCTAAATTCTCTTTTCTGGCCTTCCAGGTCCCGTTGTAACGCACGACATTACCAGCTATCACACCATGTTTCTTTTGGCAATTTTAGGAGGGATGGCTCTCATACTTCTAGTCTTACTGTGTCTCCTTTTGTATTATTGCAGGTAAGATTCACGTCCTGGTTACTTAGGTCATGCTGGAAATTAAGCTCTTTTTGTACTCATTAAATTAAAAGCTTAAACTTTTGTACTTAGAATAAAAAAAGAAAGAAAGCATTTCTGAAAAGGGAAGAAATATTGAAATCAGATTTCATGTGTTCCTGGCTACTTACAGCACATACAGTCCCTGTCTCTGGTAGCATGGTAGCTAAAGGAATCTGAAAGCTGAATGTGCACATCTATACCTGTGTTTTCTAAAACTTCATATCCAAAAACAGGTATTGGTCCAAGATCTCTGCAATTGTACCTGTTTTGCACTTGCCAACTGACCTTTTAAAATCAGTCCTGCATTAAAAAGAATGTTCAACTTTTATCAGCAAGTCTATGTTAACGACTGATTTTGTATATGCCTCCTGCAGGCATTTTGCTCCAATTTGTAATTGGTGCTTGAGATGCTTGCAACTGACATAAGTTGCTCTGTAATTTTATCCTGCTGCTAAGATAAGGTTTTAATTGGTAGGTTAAGTAATAGAAGCTCAATTCCCCCCATCGCTAATCACTGCCCGAAAGCCTCCCCTTAACACACACCTACTGTACTTGTTTCTGCATACAGTAGTCCTAACTGTATAACTCTTTTGTTACTGGCTTTTATAGAAGAAAATGTTTAAGACCTCGTCAGCATCATAAGAAACTGCAACTTCCCACAGCACTGGACACTTCTAAGAAGGATCAAGCAACCTCTATGTCCCATATAAATTTAATATTTTCACGCCGTGAGTCAGAATTTCCTGGCGGGCTCTCTGTTGCTAGCAATGGACACACTGAAAACTCAGGTGCGAAAGAATTAATCAGTGCTGTCCACATGGAGATGGTGTCACCTAGTGGAGAAGCAGATATGCATACACCTATGCTCAAACACTCCTTCAGTACTTCCCAGGAGTTCAGCTCCCGAGAGGAACTGCTCTCTGACAAGGAGAAAGACAAGAGCAGAATTTCCTTGGATGACCTGACTCCCAGCGGGTCTCTGAGAAAAGACTACCACAAATCAGCAGATAGTTTTCCTTTAAAGACAAGAAAATCTACAGAAACAGCTGAAGGCTATGAGTCCCCCGTCAAAGATGAATATAGGAGAAGTTACAATGCTATGCTATCTCAGCCTTTATTTGAAAAGCAAGAGAGAGAAATTCAAGTATCTATGAACCATATTGCTACTGGAAGTAAATACAATATTCAGGAACAAATATACCCCACACCTTCAGCTCCTGAAAAAGAGCTGCTGGACTGCAGACCTACTGAATGTATGATGTCTCGTTCGGTCGATCACCTTGAAAGACCTACATCTTTCCCTCGACCAGGTCAGTTAATCTGCTGCAATTCTGTTGACCAAGTTAATGACAGTGTTTACAGAAAAGTTTTGCCTGCACTGGTGATCCCGGGTCATTACATGAAATTACCAGAGCACTCTTTCGTTAGCCAGCCGCTGGTTGTCCCCGCTGACCAGCCCATTGATCTAGAAAGACTTCAGGCTGAGCTTCCCAATCCTCATGCACGGCTTTTTCCACACCCCCCACAACAGTTGCAGCCCCAACAGTTGACATCACAAGCAATATCTCAACAACATTTGCAAGATGCAGGTGCAGCTGAGTGGAGTCAACAAAACGCTTCCATGTCTGAATCTATTTCCATCCCCGCCTCACTTAATGACGCATCCCTGGCTCAAATGAACAGCGAAGTGCAGCTTCTTACAGAAAAGGCGTTGATGGAATTAGGAGGAGGAAAGCCGTTGCCTCATCCTCGAGCGTGGTTCGTTTCTCTAGATGGACGCTCAAATGCTCACGTTAGACATTCGTACATTGATCTCCAAAGAGCTGGGAGGAATGGGAGTAACGATGCCAGTTTGGACTCTGGCGTCGACATGAACGAACCAAAATCTGCACGAAAGGGAAGAGGAGATCATCTGTCTGCACCACAGAGTCACCCACCAGTGCAAGAGCACCAGCAGAGAGAGCGGAAGGTTTCGGATAGCACAGCTTACACCCAACTTGTGTATTTGGATGATATGGACCAAAGTGGCAGCGAGTGCGGAACGGCGGTTTGTAGCCCTGAGGACAATGCTCTGCGATGCCTACTGGAAGGCACAAGTAAGAGAAGTGGTGTGCAGCTGCCCAGTCTGCAGGAGGAAACGAGAACTGTGGATACCAAACCAGAGCCATTAACTAGTCCTGAGCATGGAACGTCAGGTCAAGATGAGGAGGAGGATGAGGAGGATGAGGAAGATGACCAAGGTGAAGATAAGAAGAGTCCTTGGCAGAAACGAGAGGAAAGACCACTAATGACTTTCAACCTGAAGTAAGCTATTGTGAAAATCCACCATTCAGTGGAGTATAAAATTGCCAAATATTCTTTCTGTGGAAGTGCTTGATTTTTTTTTTTTCCCTTTTTTTTTTTTTTTTTTTTTTTTTGTGGAGAGAAAAGAGAAAAATAAACTGGTGAGCAACATTTGAAAGAAGTTAAACGCATTACTGTGTAAATGTTAGAAAAAGAATTAAAATCATTCCTCTGATTTAGCAGCTGCCTCCGGTGAGATAGCTGAACAAAGAGTGTGATTGTTATTTCATATACTTGATATTGGTCATCCAGGATGTTGAAAATACTGACAAATCGTTTTGGTTGGTTTATGACCTCAATCTCCTTAAGAATAGGAGCTGGTAAAGCTTTTGTTTTGTAGGCTAATTCTATGTTGATAATGCTACTGAAAGTATCTTAAAAACAAGAGTTTGACACATGGTGTCCAAAATTGTGCATTATCTCAATGAAAGGCTATGCATTGCTGCTTTTAGTAATATTTTGCTTATACTATGCTTTTCTTAATTTCACAAGTTGGTTGTAAACATTTTATGTCCTTTATTATAAACTACTCAGCAATTTATTTTAATGTAAAACTGCAGGAAACTTGAGTAGCATCCCTTAGCATTGAAGCCTTTTTATGAAACCAAACTGAACTTTGTGTCGACTAAGATTCCTCCAATTCTGGTCCCATTTACTCAAAGTGCCTTTTTTACAGTAACAATGAACAGTCCCTTCTTTTGCTAACTCCTTTTAATTGACCCCGTTTGGGATTTTATAAACTTCTGAACTTCTACCTTTTATTTTAAGCTGCATGTCAAGAGTCCCTTTTGTGCTGAGCATTTCTCATTTCAGTACAGTGTATTCTGTAGCTATCATGTATATTGTGGATTCTGTTTAGCCAGGGTAGACTTAGAAGACATTTTAAAGGGCCCAGAGTAGCCAAGAAGATAGTTTCATTGACTGTATATATTGTTAGCTTCCTCTGGAATCGTCTGAGCAAATCATGCTCATTAAATGGACTATAGGCCGAGCAAGTGGACTGAATGTGTCTGGAAAACTTTTTGGAAAAAAAAAAATGTACTGTCCTAAAGTGCCAGAATTACTCTTCTGTGCTTTCTCCATACAGAGCTGCTTGGTTATCCAAAAATTATGATTGAAAATAAACCGCAAAAAGAAATCTTTGTGGGCTTTTTCCTCTGTTTATGTTCATCACATTATTTTGTATTATTTAATGAGCAAAAGGCTTTGGTTTCCCTTATGCTTATGTGACTTATTAACACTTCCTTAAGCAGTTCCAGTGGGCTTCAGCCAATTCTGAAACGTAGACCTCTTTTCATAAAAGCACCACCCTCCGTCTTGATAAATCCTTCACTACTGCTTAAGTATCAGGGCAGACTTTGGAAGTGAAATCCCGCTGTCACCAGGCTTCTGTGTAGGATCTGCTTCTCGTGGGGCCGGTTTTTGTTCCGAGATTCCTGTGGGTACCTGCATTCACTGGGCACTGCGGACTTTGGCATGAATCGGGTTCAAAGAAGAGAAACTATGTGTGACTTCTACTCATGTGGAGTCCTTCATTTACATTCAGGCATGTTTCATTCTATTATTTTTACTCAGCATTACCAGCAGCCACGCTTAATAAAGTTAATTATTATGTAATCTATAAGGTGATTAGAGAAAGTGTTGTATAGTTCCTATTTAATTTTTAATAGTAAGCCTTCACTGTTGGTTTTTTTTCCTCTGTAGATGTCAAAGCCAGTGTAATTTGTAATTTCCATCTTACTGAATGTATTAGTCTGGGAGTCTGGGCTCAACCCAGGAGCTGAATCCAAATTTCATAGGTCCCAGTCCAGCACTCCTCTCCATCCACAAAACTCCATCACCTCTGCTTTGTTTTGGTTCATGTTTGACAGTGGCATATGTCTGAAGGAAATCTAAAATATCTGTATTTGTGGAGTGCATTAGATATTGAGATCTCCGTAGTGGCAGTAAGTTACCTTCTGGTGGTTGTGTGCGTTCCAGGTCTTTTTGTTCTGTTCAGGAGCTTTGCTACTGACCACATGTGAACTGGCTCTGTGCTACGGGTAACTTCTGTCCGTCTGTGCAAGGTCATCGAACACCAAATCCTGCCTGCTTCAAAGGGATGGTATTTATCGGATTTCAGTCAGTGCTGGTAATAGTGTCACTTACTAATCAGAATGCTGTATCAAGTGAACATTTGGTTACAATTCCAACCTACTCCAATTACTGTGCTATTTAATTTTCAACTTTATGTTCTCTTAAATCTGCAATTTTTAATTACATTCTCTTTTTACAGATTCCTTTGCAAATTTTCCATCTTTATTATGTTGTGAAGTGAAATTGTTGCTATTAAATTGCAGTGGTTTCTTCCTTTAATCGTGTCAGTTTTATGTTCAAAAATGTATTTTGATGGTTTGATCATTTGTGGCCCTACTACGGCAAATGTGTTCAAACAAACTCAATGTGGATATCTGGTAAGTCTTAAAAATAACATTTTTTAAATTGCTGTATTATCACTGGCTGTGTAACAGTTTGAATTTGATTCTGCAGAACAGAAAGCATGGGAAATGAGAGCCTCGATGTGGCACCCATCTGAGCCATGTGTTAAATCAGAACAGTGACATCAGTCAGGTTATAGGGTGAGATCAGTGCATCCTTTGTACACACTTTGTCTAATCTCGAAGCCTAGTGACAAGTTCCTTGCTTTGATTTTCAAACACATATTGAGGCATGCTTTGGAAATATACGAAGACTTTTTTTTGTTGTTTGTATTTCACAATTGCCCAGTGAAGAAAGTATCAATATAGGTTCTAAAACACATGGAACAAAGTACAATTTGATATATCTCAGCATCAGCAGTTCCGGGTGCTCTCAGTCCAAGCAGAAGCTAATCTAAAACAGCAGTTGTCTTCATATATATATATATCTATGTATATATTTTTTTCATGGCAAGTATTAACAGGGGGAAATGCAAAGAATTGTAATGACAAAGCTTACAAAAATAATGTAAGCATACTGGACTCCAAAAACTGTTAGGAGCAGGTCTTCAATTACTGTGACAACCTTGAGGGTTTTTGAAGCAGCAGTGAGTGACAGAATAATTTCTAAATCTTAGATTGTGTTATCCAAAGGACATTTATGTCATAGGACCTATGAAAAGTTATGGCAGTTGGGACTTAATGCACACACTAAGAGCCCACTGACTTAATGGTTTCCCCTGCACCTACTTGGTTCCTGCTGGCACGCTTCTCAAAGCTGCAATGTGGAAATTGCTCCCACTGCTTTGCTCTTCTGCAGTTTGTACTGTAACTTCAGTGAATTGAGCACTCCTGGATGAATAACCTGGATGGTGGTTTCATTTTCTGCCTTTCATTCTAACCATGAGTGCTTCGGGAGACCAATTGTACGCTGATACTTCAAACCAAAATGATTGGGTGGTAAGAAACAACACATCCCATGCAGGTTTTAGCCTGTAGACTATTACAGGTGTAAATGAGCAAGTGTTCAATTAGTGTTTATTCTTTCTCTAGGAAGGCCTCCAGTTACCCAAAAAAGATATTTTTTTCTTAACCAATGAGAATTCACCTGAGGATTAAAACTTGTGACAACACTGTGCCTTGTGAACTGTCATGTGGAGCACAAGCTGGGCTGTGTGGCATGGTGGCATCCATCCGTAGGCACTCAGCAGCATAAAACACCAAGCTGTCACTTTGGTTTTCTGAAATGCATGGACACCAGATTGTTTCATGGATCCGTGCTGTCGTTTGTGTCTCTAAACCATTTGAGATCCTTAGAGTCAAATACCTATCTGCCACCTGGTGGTGAGCTGCTTAGCTACTGGAGCCAGAGCTGAAAGGCATTTTTGGAGTTAATTTAGGAGATAAATACAGACGGTATTTTTATGACTGTGTATAAAGCACAGTTTATGGCTTAAATATAAACACAGTTATAACTTCAATAACAGCAGCAGGCAGCTGGCACAGGATCATCAGTCGTTGCTTGGACCTCTCGGTCCAAGTGCAGAGATTGTCTGCTTGAGAGCCCTTGCCCGCACCATAACTGCAGTGCTTCTCTGCTTATAACATCTCTGTTTAGAACGTGCAAGCGAAAGTGTATCAGCACTGCTGTGGTGTGTTAAAGTGTGTATGTGCTTGTTTTCTCTCAGCTCATTAATGCCGAAGTGGATTTAGATTACAAATAAAACAATTGCAACTGCTAATTGTTTCAGAAGCTGAGGAAAGTAAGGGCATCACTGTTATTATTCTTTCCTAACTCTCCTGTTAGAACCAGTGGTGATCTGGCGGGTCCCACGCCACCATTACAGGTGTCTGGTATGCTCACAGCCTGGCTGCACACCAGTTGGAACTGAACCTTTGGGTAGGAGAGTAGGCAGCAGCCAAGTGCCACCATCAGACTAGAGGAGCATTTTTTCCTTACTCGTGTAATTCCAGCTGATAAACTGACACCTGGTACTGACTTCTGTTGGACAGTGAAAACAGAGCATCTTGTTCTTTTTGGCAGTAATCCTGTAGTACCCACAGGCGATCTGTTTGCAAAGTGTGGCACCCGGTCTCTCATCACTTAACTGGAGTATTTTGCATTGTTGTGCATTTCTTCTAGGAATAAGCAGTGCCAGTTAGTCTGTTTGATAATTAAATTGCTCTTCTGCCTTGGAAGCTTACAGACACTGGAGTGGAAAGTGTGATGACGTTAGGGAGCTACAGAGGAGATACATATTTACAGTTTATTTTTGTAATTGTGGGGTTCAAATAATGGGAAATGCAGACTGCTACATTAACCCAATTGAGGAATGGTTATGCCAGTTTTACATTAGAAAGGAGAGATGGTGCTCAAAATACTGCTGTGGGATGAGAAATCCCACTTTAAAAGACTTGCCTGGTCCTGCTGCAAGAGATTTGAAGCATCAAAGCTGGGAGAAATTATTCCAATGAGCTCCTTTTTTAAGCATTGTTTTTAAAGGCTTTTGGTGATTGAGCAATTGTGAGGAGTCTGTAAAAGCCATACTTTTATTGCTTCAGGACTGCCTTCTTCCCTGCTTGCACATGGTTTTCTCAAGCACGTTCCCACAAGTGCTGCCTCCTGAAGCTTCTCTTCCTGGGTACAAGCCTGTCATCGTCCTACTTTTGTGCCATGGGCTACGGGTCTGGCAGCAGTATGCGTGCACCAAGAGCACATCACAAACTCTTCAACTGGAAAATCTCCATGAAAAGAAAGCAACACAGTAGATTTGCCCACATATTGCCCTTACACACACGATCGGGGCAGGTCCTCCCAGCTGGCATCCCCTGCCTGCGGAGGTGAGAGATGCTCTGTGTCTGGCCTTCTCTGTCTTCAGCCCATTTTACGAACTCGGCCCCTGCCTCCACTTTTTAGCTTTGTGCCGTGTTGCGAGTCCGACTCAAACTGTGACACCATAATGACATTTCAGTAATGTTATTTTTAGGCGTCGGTGAGGGTGAGATTGAGAAAGCTCTGTGCCTCTCTGTGCCACTAGCTTTACCTTGATTGTAATGCCTCCTAATCCTCTGTCCAAAAACAATGAGAGAAGCACAGTGTGGCAGCCAGGTTCCCACATGAGTGTTAATTGCCTTGTGAGAGCTGGATTGGTGCTTCAGCCCTTGAAATCAGCAAACTCAGCCTATATAAACGTGTGTGTGTGCATGCACATGCATGTGTACATACATAAATGTATTTAATATAAAAGTTGGCTTAAATGCAAGCTTAAGCATTTGGAGATCAAGCAATGCCAAAGTAAACGTTGTTCATCCAGGCTGACTGGAAAAACCAGCAGAAGAGCTCATCAAGGTTTGCATTAATTAGCTTAATTGTTCCTGTGGTCTGAGATTGCAGTTAAAGCCATACTTGATGCTGGGCTGTGCTTATGCCCCCGACTTCAGTGAGATTTATTCACATTTGCCTACTAGTCTAGACACGATGCTTAAATGTTCTTTGTTATTAAAGCTTCTCTAATGTCTTTAAGCAATTTACTCTGCAATTGTTAGAACATTAGGTGGAAAATTTTCTTTTTGTTATAAAAGCTGTAAAATTCTCAAGGGGAAATTCTCGCTGAAAAATCTCCAAAAATTTTGCATAGAAATTGGAGAATTGCAATAGAGCCTGATTTCTTAGTTTCTTCAT